CTAGCCATTCTCAAAATGAGCCCCATAACTGCAAGTAAGGCTGGGTAGAGGCAGACTCATAAATATCCCAAAGACTTTACCTTTTAGTCATAAACTTTTTGCTCCTTTTATGCGCGCCTTTAAACGTGTCTGCCATAGTATATACAATTGATGTATTAGTGGGCTTTATCTATGAGTAGCAACCAATAACATAGATGTATTTCTAATTAAGTTTTCAGTTTTCACAGATTTTATTTTCACCTTTGGGCAAAGTTAGAAACAGTCAATATTTACAACTCTTTATAAATTTTTATATTTGTTGTGAAATAACATTGACTTCATGAGACTAATATCCAATACATTATCCACATTAAGGTTCATAGAATTCGTAATATAATGTCAGTTGAATAAAATTTCCGTTTCCAGGAAATCATTCATCTAGTTTTTACTCTAAATTCACTCATATGATCTTACAAGACTGCAACTGAGTTTATGAAATTGCAATATGTTCATCATGCATACCTATACAAAATCATATAGGCTGATAAAGTGGGAAAACTAGGCTGTCTAGATGGATGTTGACGACTAAGTTTAACGTGATGAATATGTAAAGGGGCTGCACCGGACAAGACTTATATCCTGTAACATCACCAACAAAAGCGGTTAATCTACAATGTAGATGTCTGAAATCTTGATAGCAATCTTGAAGACCAATGTACAATACATTTTACCTCTATTCATTTCTTACATTTTAAAGAGTTGCTTATGATAACGTGAATTTGCTTGGGTTGCAAACAACGACTTAATTTACTTTTTTGAACTGTTATATTTCAAATTCTCTTTCTGAAGGCAATGTAGATATTTAACCCATTTTATTTTATAGAGGAAATCATACATAGTAAACGTTTACAGTTATGATATATGTCGCGCAATTAAGTCTCTGTAGCACTGCCACTTACGAAAATAAGACTGTAAAATCAATACAGGGTGTTCAAAAAAAGTAGGAACGTAATTTACGTAGTAATTCCTTGGGTCAAAATAAAGAGAAAATCGTGAATAAACCTCTTTCAAAAATCGCTTCGTTAACCAGATATCCGCCATTTTGTATTTTGTTTGTATGCACAATTTTGACTTTGGATTAACTAAACCGATATTTATGAAACCTAGTATGGCTAAAGCGACCCATGTAAGAAAAAATATAATCTTGATCCAATAATAGGAATTATTCAGAATCTCAAAACGTCGGTCGTTTTAACTTTTAAATTTAAATTACAAAATAATGGCAAAATTTATGAAACAATTTCATTAACAATATAATTTAGTATTTAAAATGCCCCATCCAACGACACCAAGTTCAAAAATATCAAAGAAAAAAAAACAAAGATATCACAATTGCTTTCGTAAAATGAGGTTGAATGGGACAAAGCTAGTCAGGGTTGCCCTTTTATACAAATAGGTCTAATAGTTGTGGAATTTCAGTTATTTTTATTCGATGTTTTTGAACTTCCGATCGTTGGATATTACAATAAAAAAAGTAAAACTGTTCTTGAAGTTTTATTATAAAATCAGCATTTTTTTTATTAGACAAGGAAAGGTTTATTTCTAACATGGATCGGTTTTACCATACATACCAAGTTTCATAAAGATAGGTTTAAACATCCAAAGACAAAAATGTTAATGTAAAAAATTGTGGATATCTGGTTAACGAAGCGATTGTGGAAAAAGTTTTATTCTTAATTTTCTTCTTATTTTGACACAACAAATAACTACGGACCTGCATTATTTTAACAATCTGAATAATAACACCAATTTTAAAATGTAAATAACCTGATGAATATGACAAATGTATTTCAAACACGAGTCACGGTAATACGTGAAAATACTCTTTTCAAAATCTTTCCTAGGCTAAATCTGCTGAAGTTAATTTTAATTTTCTGTACTATAGCCATTTTTATTCAAGGTGTCCAACAAAGAGGTTCTAGTTTTTTTACTTCTTTTTTTTATTAAAATACTGGACTATCAAACAAGCCACAAACTTAAAACTCTACAGTTATAATAAATACATAACATGTAAAATAGATCCCTTCCAGTCGTATATAATTCTGAGTGATTAAACTAGATGGTGGATAACTAATATAGCAACAGAATTTGCAAACATGTTTGCAAGCGTTATAAAATCAGTAAATATTAAATGTGAACATCGGTTTAAATGAAGTGGTGTGAATTAAACTAATTTCCCATACAGTTTTGCCAAGATGCTATCTCTTTAGTTACTTAAATGTTATTTACTTAGGTAACTTTGAATAAACCGAGAAAAATAATAGTTTTTGCAGATAAAATTTATTTAACGAAAATGCATCACTGATTTGCAGCTGTGAATTTATCTTTTTTGATTTACTGCGATATTTAATAAAACTTATTGTAATCGGCCACACTAACTTTTTTTATTTCTATAACTGTTTTACAAATATGTGAAGTAAAACTTTTGACATCATATATTGAAACCATATTTTATAAATTTTGTATGATATTAAAACCTTTAAAGGATAGATGAGAAAGTAATATAGAAATGCTCGTTGCAACCTCTTTGAAAAATATAAGTTGTATTTATTCATTAATTATTATTTTATTTATTAAAAAAGTCATTAGTTATAAAATGGAATATCCGGTGTATTAATAATTTCGTATAAAAATTAATTATTTCTGCAATATACAGAAAACAAATACCTGTTTGAGTAGATACATACTGTATATTTCAAACATTGATAAGAGTTTATGAATCCAAACCGATTGGTGAAAAGTTATTTTCGATTGTAATTTATGAATATTTTTGTTATTTACTAAAGTATATTAAGGAGTCTAGTGTAGCGTGTGCTATTTTAAGCTATGTAGGTAATACGTTTGATGACGTCATACATATAATAGGTAGTTGTTATAATCACATGGTGCTCTGTAACACTAACAAGCTGCTGGTACAAAGCTACTTGACTAACCCTACTCAGGCAGGATGAATACAACTGACTTCTCAGAATATTTTCAATTTAACTTTTGGTTTTGCACATTTATTTAAAAATAAAAGTTGTTTGTTGGGTCATTGAAAAATAATAATCCAAAAGAGTCCCCTAGATCGATGTGGACGTAAAACCAAGTCATCAAAAAGATCATTAGTTATCTGGTGACGTTAAAAATAGTATGAATTTAAATATGTTAACGTGATTACCAACTACTAACGTAAAATATTTCTTAACAATTCACTTGTATTTAGTTTTAGTTCCAGAATGAGAAAAAAACAAAATCAGGCACAACTTGACCAAAATATATATTGTGCAGACTTCTCTGTTTAACATCACGCTGTAAATAAAACATATGATTGGAATTTCTTCCATTTGTCTAGATTTTATGTTTGGATTTCGATGTTATTTCATCACCAGTCGGAAACCCATAAGGCCTGAGTAATTTTTTGATTTTGACAAAAGTTGGCGTTTGTTTGTTTTGGACGGTTATTGCTCTTCCCGATTTTCTACCAATAACAGAGGATTTTGTGAAGTTATCTTGACATTGACCTTACCATGACACTGCATGAAATGCAAATTTGTTTTTTTCTTCAAAAATACGTAAACATTGATAAAACCCTGCGTAATAAAATAAGAACATACATGATGTTCATAAAAAGGGTGTCACAAACTTCAAGGGCTGATAGTACTCATCAATCTGAACAAAAAGGTTCATATGAACATAGGTCGAAAACACTTTTGCTTAGCTGCTGGCCACATTTTGTAAATTTTACAAAACAATTTATATCTCAAGAATTATTCAAGCTACGGAAAACAAACTTTGCACATACCTTCATTGTGTCAAGAGGCAATAAATAACAATAATGCAATTTTCAAAAAAAAAAATTAAATGGTGGTAATTTAAAATATTTAAACGTAAATTACCAAAATACGGCTGGTTTTATGAAAAGATTACAAGCAATCTTTTATTTAGCATTATTAATTCCCTGTCAAACGGTACCAAGTTCAAAAAGATTAACTAAAGAATAGCTAAAATATCCCTTTTTTTTGTAATACGGGATAGAATAATGCTCAGGTCAGGTTATACTTATTGTAATTTGTCGATTTATGTATGGAACGCTTAAATTTTAGCTTTTTACATTTTATTTTATTTTTCTTAATAACACAACTTGTAATGCCAAAAAGTATGCCACATTTTACTCAAAAAGCTTTGCGTTAAATTTAAATGCAATTTTCTATAAATAATTGTTTTAAGTAGGCTATTACTAATAAATGAAATTTAGCCGTGTGATTCGTCCTCTGCACTACAAAAATAAATCCTTCACCAGGTAAATAAATCGATTAAACATAATAGTCCGGAATCATAATTTCTACTGAAAGTGGAGAAAGTAAATACATAATCCTTATGGATCAGCTAAAATGTCGTGTATCGTATATGTCATAGAATATATGGTAATATGTTGAGGCAGAGCACAATTGTTAAAATAAACCCTAAAATTAGAGCAAAACACTTAGTCAACATCGACGCATTTAAAAGTCACCAACAGCGCTAATCAAACCTAGGCTTCTAAAGTTCCAATAGAGTAAAGATTTTATACAATATGCTAATTATTTCAAAAAATACCATTTTAATTGTTTGCAGAATTCGTTACTAAAAACCTATTAATAGCTCTGACAATTTTTTATATAATATAAAAATATTAATTTTAAAAATGCTAATTTAAATTACTTTTGTAATCAAAACTAAACGAAATCTAAACCCTTTTTTATCGGTACGAAAGCTAATCTATGCCTATTCGAAAAGTTGTAGTTTACAAACGTCTTATAATAGAATCCATGTATTCATTTATCAATGGTGTTAACCCAAATATGTTTCAACTAATTACTGTATATGAAATAAAATCAAGAACTAACTTAAACTCATTTAATCATAGAACAAAATATAACATTATTTGTTTACATTTTCATAATAAACATAAAACCAAATTATCAGCTGATTCCAATATATTACACTTTTCCCTCCTCATCGTCTACCGCACCTTCTCTTCTTCGCAGTTGATCCGAATGTTTTCTTTTTATCACTCCACCACACATGACTTCATAAGAGTATAAGCCATTGCGTTTGACTATTGTTCCTGCTATCCAACCAGGGTTATTCTCTTTTTTCATCCATACTTCTTCCCCTTCACTGAATGCTCTTAAGGTTTTCTTTTGAGTTGGGTTTTGTTGTTCCTTCCAAATTTTCAGATCTAATTGTTGTCTAAGGTTTGGTTTCATGTTGTCCAACATAGTTGGCATTCTTCGACCTAGAAACAACTCTGCAGGGGCTCGTCCTGTTGTTTTTTGTGGGGCATTTCTGTAACTGAACAACACATTTTGCAATGCCAATGAAGAATCATTAATTTCTTGTTTTGTTGTTCTGTAACGCCTTTTCAAAGTCCCTATTAGACGTTCGACTAAGCCATTACTTCTAGGATGATAAGGAGTAGTTCTTATATGTCGAATTGAATGTCTCTTGAAAAATGCTTCCATTTCAGTAGAGACAAACTGTGGCCCGTTGTCAGTTACTACTTGTGATGGTATCCCATACCTGCTCATCCACGATCTTAATCTTTGAATTATGGCAGTTGAAGTCGTTGTTCTTAAACATTCAACTTCTGCCCACTTAGATAGCGCGTCAATCCCTACTAACCACATTACTCCATCAACTGGTCCAGCTAAATCCAAATGAACTCTTTCCCACACTTTTTCAGGAATGTTCCATGGATAGACCGGGACTTCTTCAATGTTTCCTCTGTTTTCTTGACATGCTTCACAAGTCTTAACATGCATTTCAACGTCTTTGTCAATGTTAGGCCACCATACATAGTATCTGGTAATTGATCTCATAGCTGAAATTCCAGGATGGCCACAGTGCAAAATTCTCAAGATTTTTTTTCTCATATTTGTTGGCACAACAACTCTACCAAACCACATCAAAATACCATCTTCAACTGATAATTCTTCTTTCCTTTGTTTAAATGTTTTAATGTTATCTGGTACCTTCTCTGGCCATGAATTTAGCACATAACTTTGTACTAATTTTATCTCCTTGTCCAAACTGCTGTTATGTTTGAGTTCCTTATAGGACACCAATGTCTCAACTTTATCCATGTTTAAAAACTTTATGTCTCTTACATCGGTAGATTCTTCTCTGATTCTCATGGGAAGACGGGATAGTGCATCAGCACAAACGTTTTCATCTCCTTTCCTGTACTTGATTGGAAAATTGTACTGATTCAGTTCTAGGGCCCATCTCACTAACCTATTGTTCATTACCTTTGGAAGATTCCGGTTTTCTCCAAATATTCTTTGAAGGGGTTTATGATCGGTGACACGTGTGAAGCTTCGTCCATATACATATTGGTGAAACTTTCTTACAGCAAATAAAATTGCAAGTGCTTCTCGATCAATATTCGATTATCTTTTCTCAGCATCTGAAAGAGTTCTGCTAGCATACGCGATTGGTTTTTCCAGACCATCTTCACACTTGTGCATTAAGACACTCCCAAGACCGTCTTCGGACGCATCACACACCAACACTAGAGGTTTGGATTCATCATATGGAACAACTGTGTCTTCTTCCGAAAGAATCATTTTGACCTTTGTAAATACTTCATCTTCTTTCTCTGTCCAGATCCATTTTGATCTGTTGCTAGTAAGTCGATGTAACCTTGAGCACAGCGCATGCAACCTAGGGATAAACCTTTCATAATAGTTTATGGATCCTAAAAAAGACCTAAGCTGTTTGACATTTGTAGGTTTAGGTGCCTTTTGTATTGCTTCGATCTTCTCTTTTGTTGGATGGATACCCTGTTCATCGATAATGTGTCCAAGATAGGTGACTGAATTCTGCATGAATCTACATTTTTCTTTCTTCGCTTTTAGCCCTGCGTTACTCATTCGTTTTAATACTTCCTTTAAGTTCATGAGGTGTTCTTCTTTGTTTCGGCCCGTGATGATTACATCATCTAGAAGTACCCCCACTTGTGGTATGCCTTCAAGGAGCTTCTCCATGTATTCCTGAAAGATACCTGGGCTGGAGGTTATACCAAATGGTAGTCTCTTGTATCTATAGTATCCAACGTGCGTGGATATTACCAGATATTTTCTGTCTTCCTCTGATACTTCCATTTGGAGATATGCATCTCTCAAGTCAACAACTGAATATTGCTTCCCTCGAGATACTTTATTCGTCAGTTCCTCAAAAGTTGGCAAAAGTGTTGTATGGGTAACAATGTTTGGGTTTAAGGTTACCCGAAAATCTCCACATATTCTAATTGTGCCATTTTCCTTCTCAACATTTACTGTTGGTGTTGCCCATTCGATAGGAGTTTTGGAAGGGTCTACCTTTTCTATAACACCGTCACTTACCAGTCTGTTTAGTTCTTGCTCAACTCTACTTCTTAGTGGAAAAGGCACTCTGCGAGCAGGAAAACACCTAGGCTCTGAGTCACTCTTAACATGTATCTTCGCCTGATATCCTTTAATGGTTCCCAATTCTTTCTTAAATACATCACTAAACTCAGAAATAACTTGGTTAATTTCCTCTTCGGTTACTGTAGAAGCATTTTCATCTTTATTGGTGTTATCCAACTTACGAATCGTAACACTAGGTGGTAATTTCATGTTGAAGGCAAGCATCCATGGTAATCCAAACAAAGGAGATTCGTTTCCATTTACCACAGCAGCCTTAATTTACCTAATCTGTCCATCAACTTTAACATTAACTTCACACTCTCCTAAAACATCCAGGGTATTGTTTCCATAAGCGACAAATTTTGTTTTACATGCCCTCAAATTTGGTGATCCTATTTGTTACCACAGGGGTGCATCAAACATCGATGCTCTAGCTCCTGAATCAAACTCCATGGTTGTTGGTACTTCATTTAGGGTAACATTAATTTGTGCTCTTGGGATCTTCCTATTAGGTTTAAGTTCAGAAATTCCTAACTGTACCTCTTCTTCCTCAGATTTTATGTCTGTGTCGTTGATTTGGTTCAAATAAGCCTTTTTTGAACGACAATGTCGCGGAAAATGACCCATTTTCCCACAGAAGTGACATTGTTTTGTCTTTTTGGTTCCACATTGTCGTGAGAAATGACCTTGCCTTCCACATGAAAAACACTTAGACTTTTGAGCTGGACAAAATTCTCCACTGTGTACTAGTCCACACTGATTACAATCTTCTGTAGAATGGCTGTAGGTTTCTTTTGCCGATTATCTATTTTTCTTATCATAGCTATGTACCTTGTTAATTACAGGCATAGCTTCATCTAAAATATTCATTTCCCGCTTAGCTCTATCCATCGCTTCAGCTAAATCTACCAACTCATTTAAAGTTAAACGTGAACCATCTTTATTTATGCCTTCTGGCCACCTTTGCCTGATTTCAACTTCAAACTGTGGAAAGTTAACGCCACCAGCAAATCTATCCCTTACTCTTTCCTCAAAATACCTGTCGTATTTACAGTAGGAGGCTAACTCTTTTAAACGTAAGACGAAATTTGAAAAACTCTCATCATTTCCTCTCACACATTTTTCAAAGTCTAGTCTCGCTGCAAAGATTGTTTTACTAGGTTTATAAACACACCGAAATGTATCAAGCAGTTCAGTCATTGGTATGTCATAAATTTGCCTAGGTAAAACGAAATTAGATACCTTTTTGAGGGGTACAGGTCCAACATATGCTAGAAGAAGATCCCTTCTGGCCTCCTCAGTTTCATCACTGTCATCACCCAATCCCTTTACCTTGCACATCAATTGGAAGTGAGCTTCATAATCCTCCCAGTTCAATTTTTCATCATAGGGTTCTATTGAAAACTTTTCCATTCTCTTTCGCACCTCTTCTTTATTGTTCCAACCAATATCTTCACATCTTTGGGTTCGTTTTTTACTCATCGTCGCCAGTGAAATAAAATCAAGAACTAACTTAAACTCATTTAATCATAGAACAAAATATAACATTATTTGTTTACATTTTCATAATAAACATAAAACCAAATTATCAGCTGATTCCAATATATTACAGTATACAAGTCGTATACTAGTTTATTCAACAAATATATGCGTTGATTAATTGTTAAAGTTTATGTTGTTATTTCGTAACTATCATGACAACCCATTAAGGTATATATTTAACTCAGATGATTTCAAAATAAAACTTTTCTTAGGTAGCCTTAAATTTGTGACAAATAAAAATAGAAAACTGTTTTAAATAATTAAAAAAACAAATTTAAAATGTATAGCTGGTTATCAAAAGTATATATACAATAGATTCATGGAAATTTAATCATTGTTATATCTTCTAATATTTTAAGTAACAATTCTTTCTTGTAATGTAAGGAAATGTAAACAGAGTAAAGTGACTTTCGGGAGTTTTCTTTCAAGATGGGTGGTTTATAATTCTTGAAATGTTTATTTAACTTGACAGAGCTTTTAGTGGATTACCTATTTGGCAATGTGAGATAACCACTCTACTGTCTCCTTCCTTAAATTTGTATATATTTTCCTTTACTTAGAGTTAACTTTGGAATGTTGATTGGTTATTTTATTTTTTTTTGTAATTTTTATGGTTATATTCAAAATTAAAATATACAGGGTGATTGGTACTCAGTGTGAAAATTTTTTTTTGGTGTATGTACAAAGTAAATGAAGTGTGATGATGCATATCAAATGTTCCAAGTCTAAAAATTAGCTTCCCAAAAAATTATTTTATGTTTTTCAAAAATAACCATGCTTTTAAACTTAATACAGCGATTTCCTCAATTACCTGTATATGGATTTGAGTAGATAATGTTATTTTCGTGTTCTACATTAAATTTTGAACAAGAATAATAGAAAACGACGGAGGATCAGTTGTAAAAACTCCATTGTCAATAGACTCAAAGATAAAAATTAAGATGTTTGATACAAATTTAAAAACAATAGTCTATTGCATTTTTTACGCCCTGTATACAAGAAAGTGTCGGAATATGTTAAAAACTGCGCCATTTTATAAGCTTTCCATGCATATGCCATTGAGCTTTATGTCTGCTTATGTACGCTTTAGTGGTTTGAAGACTACAAAGCATGGTGTCTTTAACATTTAAAACATAGAAAGTCGGCATGTATTAAGCAAAAGTTGTATTTTTGTTTCAGCTTGAACAGTAAAACAGTAAAAAAATTTCCCTGTTTTCTGGCATTCAAACCACTAAAACAAAACAAAAATATCTAAACCTCAATAGTGTAGCATATGGTTGGAAAGCTTATAAAATGGCGCAGTTTTTAACATATTCCGACACTTTCTCGTATACAGGGTGTGAAAAATGCAATAGGCCATTGTTTTTTTTTTATATTTATCAAACATCTTAATTTTTATCTTTGAATCTATTTACAATGGAGTTGTTACAACTGATCCTCTGTCATTTTGTGTAGAACACGAAAATGACATTTTCTACTCAAATCCATATACAGGTAATTGAGAAATCGCTGTATTAAGTTTAAAACCATGGTTATTTTTGAAAAACATAAAATAATTTTTTGGGAAGCTAATTTTTAGACTTGGAACATTTGATATGCATCATCACACTTCATTTACTTTGTACTTACACCAAACATTTTTTGTCACACTGAGTACCAATCACCCTGTATATTAAAGTCAAGAGAAATGGGCTCTGAACCTAAATAGAACAGAAAACCTCTATAACAATAACCTTGGATAAGTAATTTTTTTTAAATTTATGTATACGTTTAGTTATATATACATATTTTTATAAACACCTATAACGTATAATATATTTTAAAGAAAACTATATATTTACGATAAAATAATATGGATGTGCACATTTTACACATTTGAGAAAAACAGATGTTTCGACAAAGTGATAATCGGCTTGATGTAGATCCTATTTGACTCACTAGGGCTGAGTGGATGTGATGTTGTTTGAGTAGAACCGTATAACTCTTAGTTTATATGTAAATATTCAATAAAATGGTGAGTATGATAATTGTATTCTTAGAAATATAGGTACTTACGTATTAAACGGAGGCCACATTTTGTCAGCGCGCTGCGGCGGTTATGTTAGGTTGTGTTATCATAATAGAAAGTATAACTCGTCTGGTATCGTTCGATTCATAACGAAGCGAGGAAAGTCCTACACACATAATATTTACGATAACCCAACCTAACATAACCGCCGCAGCACGCTGACAAAATGTGGCCTCCGTTTAATACGTAAGTACCGAAATATATTAGCTGAAATGTTAAAGATCTTATTCTCGGAATAATGGCTACAATTTAGAAGGCAATAATAAAATAAATATTTGAGGAGGTATTTAACGGGCTCAAATAATTATTCTAAATACGAAAGTAGAAACTTTA